CCAGTGACTGCTTTTCCTTTCGTGAAAATCAAGATCATTCTACGCGCGTTCCATCTCAACTTCTAGCGTAGACATCTCAAAGAAGCCCGCTCGCTATTATTTTCATTCTTCGGGCAATCTTTGCGGTGATTCCGAGTGAAATTCTTCGCTGTCGTCGATAGCAATGTTCCGTTCCTTCTACACTTGTCGCTGAAATCTATGGTGTTGCTTCTCAGTCAGCTTTTTTTTTCTCTTCTCATCTGAACCAAACCCCACTCTCTCTTATTTCCAATCTTGTTCGACGAGTATTGTACACTTTTTATCGGTGGGAAAAAGTATTTGCGATGTTATACCTGTGTTTACGTTATGGACACTGAAATGAAACTGTGCTGATTACCTGAAAAAAAAAAAAAAAAAATGGGACGCGAATGTTGTTATTGAAGAATTTAATAACTTTTTGTAAACATACATAATCTTTTTCTGGCTCTTCAATGGCCGTAAATTGCCAATAAAATTAACAAACAACTTTGTACATATTATATATACAAAGGTTTCCATCAGTGTAGGAACCTTATCGATCGAGAATAATATCGGCGTAGACGCGTCGAAAATATGTGAACATGATATATTATTTGATTTCTAAACACAGCCGCGAATCGAAAATGAATTATGCTTCACCGTGTGTTTTTAAATGTATTTTCAAGGTAGTTCTGTTAATAAAAGCTTTAGAACATACGGGGCAAGAGTGTGCACGAGAGAGGTGGTACTTTAAATGTTCGTTGAGTTGTGCGCCCGTTTTGAACAGTTTTTTACAGATATTACACTTGCGCTCCTCTTCACTGTCTTCCTCTAAATGAGTTCTCGTATGTTTATCAACTTCGCCGACATTGTCAAATTCCATTGAACACACTCTACAACTGAACTTTACGGCTCGAAGAATACCTATTTGACTACCAGTTAATGGACTAGGTACTGGAAATATATTATTGGTACTATCTCCAATGCTGCATCTTAAACCTTCTTTCTTTTTATGAGAACTTACATGATTCCTGTAAAAATATTTTTAAGTTACAATTTGTACGGAATTTTTTCAGAAGCCTTCATGATAACAGATGCTACCTATAGGCTTGTTCATTCCTAAATGTAATATTACAACTGACACAACGATAATCCTGTTGTTGAGGTACTTGCTGTGTTAAAGATGGTGTAGTCACTTGTAAAATTGTATTCTGTACTTTTATGGTAGGATGAACAATTAAGTAATGCTGTCTCACGTCATCTTTCAGTTCAAACGTTTCTGTACACTGATGACACTTATATGGATACAATGGATCGGTACTAACATGTAATCTTATATGCTTATCATAAGTCACTTGTGAACTACATTCAGTTTGGCACATATCACATACAAAGTGAGTTTTAGTATGAAGGTACAGAGACTGTGAAGATGAGAATGTCTTATGACATATAGTACATGTGTTCTTCTCTTCTTGATTATTACTTCTCTTCATTACATAATATTTATCACAGTATTCACATTGAAATGCTGGCTTTGAATCATATATTGACTTCTTTAGTTTACAACCACCTTTTACACAAATTGCTACTCTATTCATCTTTTTTAAAGGCTCATCTCCTTCATCTATGTTAATCATATTCTCAGTAAATTTTTGGCTACCTTTCATTATCTGTGCCAACACCCTCAGCTTCTTTGATCTTGGACATGGTTTTCCATATATTTTATCTATTTGTATCGTTAAACGATATAATTTTTTCCCTATATCAATTTCTTGATACAATTCAGGTTTTATATCAGTAGATCCATTTAATGATATCTCATGATCAGAAGATATGTCCAACTTGTATTCTCCATTTATTTCTTCAACCTATAATGCATTTCTTTAATAAACTTTTAACCAAGAGAAATAGATGTTAAAAACACTATAAAATTATTTACATTTTCCACTAATTGAATAGAAGGGCTTTGTGGAGGAGTTACTAAACTATGTGAATCATCGTCCAATTTTTTTTGCTTCAATGGTGGTATTTTAGATGATCCAGTTTGAAGCTCATCTTCAGCCTTGCGTTTTCTTTGACCTTCTATAATAAAATATATTTATACTAATACTTACACTGCTAATATGTAAGACATATTATAACTGTTATACATACCATCTACTTTATCAAAAATAGTTGGAACAGTATTAGGATTTAGTTTCTTTGAATCTGTAAAACTCATTTTATCAAAGTGCAATTCACAGAGGTAGAGTGGTTTATCATGTTCAGTGTTCTCACTCAATTGACAGTTTTTGAACCATTGACTCCTTTGTCTGAAAGTATCATTATGATACACTTAAGTACAGCTTATAAATATTTGTAAAAAATCACCAGAAAGTCCAACAAGTACTCACAATTCATCTTCAGGAAAAGGAAACAACAAAATGTTTTGTCCGTTGACTTTCGTACTTTCATTTGAAAGACAACCATGTGCCACGCAGGTTAACATTGTACTGGCAAAAATTTGCTCTTAAAAAATTGACCTTTTTCATAAAAATTAACGTAAACTTATAAAAACAAAATTTCATATAAACAGACCATAACCTAAAATCTTAAAGCTTCTATACAAATACTGCAGCTGGTACTCGAAGCTAAAAATTTACAAACAGCTAGTGGCGAAAGCTAATAAACAGAGTATAGTTGCATTTAAAGCACCGCAGCGATTATACTATACGATGCTAGTGGCTGCACATTAGTTGAGTGAATGAAATTTAACCAATCACGCTTTTCCTTTGCCGCTTGTCATCATTCATGCACATCGATTGGTTGTCTTTTTATGCAATCTGCTTGCTAAATGTGTTCGTATAGTGCATTTTAGAACAAGGTTACACGAATCTATCCAAAAAAGGAAACGGGTTTTGACATGTATTTTCTACGTGATGTAACGAATACAAACGGTACTTGCAATACTTACGCGTATATTTTGAACAATTGTGATTATGCTAAGCAGTGTCAAAAATTGGGACTGTTAATTGGGAAACATGTAAGAAAAAACAAGCTGTTGTGACTGTAGAATTTTTTATTCATTTAACATGTACATATATTATACAACAAATACATTGATTCCAACCACTTTGAAGTTTAATTTTTCCTAAATTGTGCCGCATTCTCGTAACATTAAGTTAAATCAAGATTTTGACAAAGAAGCTACAACATCTGTAATTTTGCAAGAGAGATCGAAAATTTCTTTCATTGCAGAATCTATGTTCACTGCCTGTTTGTGTGAGATTTGGTTATTAGATTTCTTTGGTGTTGTACTTTTTCGTAATAATGGAGTAGATGCTACATTATTATCTGAAAAGAACACGTTAAATTTTTATGCTTAATTACTAACCCAGAAATTTTTTTATGTAAGCATTCTTACAAACCTTTGAAGTACTTTCTTTTTGAATCACTATTATTAAAAAATAATCGAGAAAATCTTGGAGAGACTTTTGTTTTGCTAGGTGAATTTTTCTTGCAAATTAATACTTGTCTTTGAGGAGATTTCCAATTTTCTGTGAAACTTTCTAAACTATCATTCAAGTCATATTTTGGTATTAATTTTCTAGGTGACTTACAGGGTTCACGTTTATATCTTCTAAACAAATGTTTATATTTCCCTAAAAATCATTTATAAAATTATATACCAAAGTATATTTATATTGTAAAGAAACAGTATTACCTTGCAATGGAGAGATACACATTGTTTTTAATAACTTTTCATTGTCTGTACATTTACTAGTGGAGAAATTAAATCTGGGTGAAGTTAAAATTGTTTCTAAACTCATGGGATATGAGAAATCTGTTTCTAATGTATGGTTTATAGTTTTGTTTTCACAACTATGTTGTACATTGTATAAATCCTCAGAAACTTGTGTTGTAACTTTCTGAAATACTTGTTCCATACACTTGATTGTTTTACAATGTTCAATTATTTTTTGTTCACAGTTTGATAATTCTGGTACAACATCCACTTTTAAGTAGCATTCTACATGTTTTAGTGCTTCATCAAGTATTGATAATAAAACATGAAATACTAAGCATCCATTCATGTATAATCCATTGTTAATATGCTTTAAATGAAATGCATTATAAATTATTAATATAATTTTATAACATATTATGTACTTTGGATTTTTTATTTTTTACCTGGATATGATTAATTAAACACAGTGGGAGTATTTCACTGTTTACTTTTGGAAAATCACTCCCATTAAAAATCTTATGATTTACACATAAATTTGAAATAAAACCATCTAATGTACTACTAAGAGCTTTTAGTTCTTTAAGTATACAATTTTTTTTAGATAAAATCTTAATATTTTGCTCAATACTTTCCTTCCACACTGTAAGTTTAAATTTATATAGGTCATAATTTTTTATTAAAATTGGAATATAGTTCATACAGAATAATATAATTATAAAATACAAACAGTGTATAATTTCTGTATCATCAGTATGTATTAATCGTGTAGCAATTAAGGGACTAACTGGAAGCATAGGTACAAACTTTTCTATATTTTCTTGTATATCAAAGATAGCTGTCTGTATTCTTTTTAAATCACTAGATTTATATCTAAAATAATAAAGTTCTTATATAATATGCATGTTTTGATACCTACATAATATTTCTAAGATATAAAATAGAAATCAATTTTACTGCATATAGTTTTCAAAGGTTTCCATAGTTGATTTTGTTTTGTCATAAAATTTAGAAATAGTAGCAATCTTTTGAACATTTATAGTGGTTAAATATATTTGAGTTACATCCCTGGTATCGCCAATATTAGGAGCATGTAATACTGTTATTTGATCTACAAAAAGTTAATTGATAAATATATGAAAAGGTACCACATTTGAGATTAATTTGTTGTAAATAAAAATTTGTACATTTTCTTTTAAGATAAGCTCTAAGACTAATTTCTGATAGTTTCCACATGATAATTGAAAACCTTGTTCCTCCTGCTTGCAATAAATGAGACATAAATATTGATGGAAAATTTATATCTATATTTTCACTTGCTAAAATTTCCAAGTAATCTTTTACTTGCATACGGTATCTTTTCTCATCCATTTTATTCATAAGTGGCCATGCAACCATTTTTTGAAAACGTTTTGCATCATATACAGATAATAAATAATGTGAAATATAAATAAAACCTGAGGTATTTGGTTTATTAAACATTCCCTATAAAGTTTATTAGATTAACAGTATACATAAAAAACTATTACAAATACATTTCATTTCAACTAGAATACCTTCTTAAAGTGTTTTGTACATTCAAAAGATGCAGGCACAACTTGCATAAGTAAAAATACATTTTTATAGAATGACACATTAAACGACATATTTTATTATACTTTTATTATCAAAATATTCTATAACTCTAAGTAACATATGCACAAACAACTACTTTCGTTATTATTTGTCATACTGAAATTCCCCTAAAGGGCATTGGAAAAAAATGTTTGTATACAAAATATGGGTTCTTACAATACATAAATGTATAACAATAAATATAAGATATATAAATTAAATGCTGTAAATATAAAATTTATTAAGCGTCCATAATAAGAAACACCGTTTATACCGGTGCTTCTACATCCTGGTACAGATGGAATTACTTCATACGACGGACTTTTAAAAAATGAGTACTTCTGGGTGTAAGGCGGCGCCACTGGGTTGTACCATAGCAACTCATCTCGATGTCGTCGTGAAAGCTTTCAACATTATGAGCCAGTGAAGTGTATCTGTCGGACAGTGGCGTGAAAATGGCGGTGTAAAATGGCAGGACGTAGATCGACGTTGACAAATGCCGATTCCCTGTCGGGATCTGGAAACACAGATCCTCTGAGGGAACTCTTCGAAGCATGTAAAACCGGAGACCTCGCGAGGGTGAAGGCGTTGGTTACACCGAAGACGGTCAATGCTCGAGACACTGCCGGACGCAAGTCCACCCCCCTGCATTTTGCAGCTGGTAAGCTTAATTTTTCCACCAATTTTTTTAATTCCACCTGATTAATGAAATTCGTCGACCGACTCGGAATTTTCCTTGTTCTATTATCTTTGACTAAAAGTCAACCATTCCGTTGTCACGTCGGAGACGTGAAACAATTCGAACACCGAGTTCTCAATGTTGTCATTCAATGAATCGAAATTATTGCCTTTTGAAATCGGATATATGTTTAACGAATACGAATTATATTTCGCAACAAAGAAATTTTATATAATTTTTTATTAGTAGATTGATATATTACTAATATAAACATTATTAATACATCTCGTGGCGTTTTGAAGTGTATTTAAGCAGTCGTTTTCTATTTTTAATACATAGGTTATGGTAGGAGAGATGTGGTAGAATTCCTGCTTTCTGCTGGAGCATCCATTCAAGCACGTGACGATGGGGGTTTACATCCCTTGCATAACGCTTGTTCTTTTGGACATTCTGATGTTGTAAGACTTCTCTTAGAAGCAGGAGCTAATCCTAACACTAGAGACAATTGGAATTATACTCCTTTGCATGAAGCTGCGATCAAAGTATGATTTTATTTCATTTAATTCATTAACTTCCTAGTATCTTAAGCAAACTCTGCTACATTTCATGGTTTGATCATTTCAATAGGGTAAAATAGACGTGTGTATTGCTCTGCTACAACATGGAGCAGATGCTAATATCAGAAATACAGAAGGGAAGACAGCATTAGAATTGGCAGATCCTGCAACTAAACCAGTATTAACAGGAGAATACAAAAAGGATGAATTGTTAGAAGCAGCAAGATCAGG